AATTCCGCTCCCAGGAGAAGCACCCTGTTTGGAAGCATAGGGTCTAATGAAAGCTTCCAGGCCCCAAATCAGAAATATCCATTGGAACCAGACGGGTGGGGAAGACCCCACTGAAGAGCTCTGTGCTGTGATTTAACCCACATTTTCAGACACATTTTCCAGTCTGATCCTCTGCCCTTATGGAGAGTCTGGTAGTTACCAATGACTTCCAGTTCATACCTTTTCTGCTTCCATTGTTAGAATCTATTCTTGTTAAAGAAGAGCATGACTAATATCATAGGACTCTACCTCAGGAGCAGATTGATGTTAATCTTTAAGTAAAATCTTGTCCCAAATTTGTTAATTAGCTTGTCAGGCCCTGACAAATTCCTGCTTCTATTGCAGAAAAGTTTCCCTTTTCACAGCTTAATTTGGCAAATTCTCTCCACAACTTCTGGCATAAAAATTTAAAAGTCTTACTAATGCAATTTGAAACCCTTGTGATATTTCACACTAACAGTAAAATATCCACATAACAGTGTGTTGATCTCGGAGTTACTCTCCAAAACACTAACTCCGAATCATGATTTCATTGCCAAGCACATCAAGTTATAACCCTACATGAAGCTATTTCTTAGCTCGCTCCTCACCCCACTACTTTTCTCGAATACAAATGCACTTATCACAACAGCTTTAAAATATATTGTCTAATAGCTTTATCTAAGTATCAAAGATGGATGAAAGGTTTGAGAGACAAGATATGGATCAGTGATTTTTCTGTGCTTTGTATGTGTTTTGTGTTTAATAATATCTAATCAAACATTAATTTTGACAAATTCTATTTCTTACACCTTCCTATTTTAAAAAACTCCTTAGATTACAGTGGCCAATCTAAGAACTCGTGAGAGGAGCTTATTTCTTTGATGCCGAGGTAAATTCCATGCAAAGACCTGTGAATTCACAGATATCATGCTCAACCTGATTCACTCCCATACCCCATTGCCAAATGGGCCACTGCACAGAGCTAGTTTCAAGACATGGGTTTTGAATCTCTTCGATTACTCACTCCTATATGAAATCCAGCAAGAGAGAGAGAGAGAGAGGCAAGCACGGTTTCACCTGAATTTCCCACACTTCACCTTCATTTACCACAGATTTAGTTTACTCATACGTGGGAATCCAAAGAACGTGGCATAAATATTAATTGTTCCTTTCCAAAATATGTTACAGTTGAGGTATACAATAGCTTCCAAAACACATAATGTGTGCACACACTATATCTATCTATCTATCTATCTATCTATCTATCTATCTGTTTATCATCTATCTATCTATATCTGAGGATACACCCATGGACCTACATTTTTAGATTGACAAATGGAGCCTGAAGTCTTACTACTGAACATTTTTTAAAGGTTATACATGTTCGCTGCTAAAAGAAAGTACTGTTGCCATAACAGTTATTTTTGAAGACTACAAAGAATTTTATTTTGAGGCTAAAAATCTCCCCAGAACATATGGTCTTGAAAATAGAAAATTAAACAAATAAAAACCTATCCATGAAAAATAAGAATTAAAGTATCTTAAGAAGAAAAATCTCATACTGTAGAAGATTCTGAGAGCAACCGCTTATCATCAGTAATGTTTAAGAGCACACAAGTATACGAATGGGAGAGTAAGCCTTGGAAGCTGAAAAGCATCATATTTTCACTGGCATGGATTCCTAAGGAGTCTGATCTGAGACTGACCTGCAAGGGATCAGTCTATGAGAACGATATTGTGAAGTTTAAATTCTTATCCTGAAACCCTGCAAAGTAAACACTCCAAGTAACTGAGTTTTGGAGAAGTCATAGAACTATTCTCTAAAATTTTACTGATTCTCTATCCCACTAAGTTTTTAACTAGCTCAATGAGCTAAAGATAAACAGCAATTATGAGCACTTAACATGTCAGTTCTTCAAGTGGAACTCAACTTCAATCTTATGTTTCTGTCCAGAGGAAAAAATTTCATCCACAAATTAACTGAGCAGTATCGCCTTTCAAGGGTTACTGTGGCAGAGCGCTCTAATTACTCTGGCTACCTCCTGAGTTGTGTCTCTGGGGATGGGTGTGTTGCATGCAGGAGAGAGTGTGGAGGGGGAATCATTCCCATGAGCTCCAACTGGACACAACTTGTTTTTAATGCTTAATGTAAACATCTAGCTGTATTCTCATTAGCAATTCCACAAAGCAGAAAAATACCTCCTATTCTCATTTCTGCTTATTCCCTCAGCTGAACTTCCAGTCTGACTGTTTGCATTGTTCCTGCTCCCACACCCACCCTCATGCGCTCTGCATTCTCCCCACGCCCGCAGCAGCCTCCCTGGTTGATCCTGCAAGCCTCCTCCTGCTCCTCTGCTTAATCCTTCCTCTTAGCCAGTTCTTCCACGAGGACAGACAACAGCAATGCACGGCCGCAGCTCCTTGCACACACCCATGAAGCCCAGAGGATGAGAGACTGGCTTGTTAGAATCAGCAGAAATAGCTGAAGAATGAACAATAAATAACCTTTTCTTTCTGTTTTGCATTCCTTTGTCTCTTCCTGGAATTTTGTAACTTACTTGTACCCTTTCCATGAGAAGCCCAAGTCTTCCTTAGTTCCTAAAACACAACATTGCCATAAGATTTTAATGACAAAATTTTAGAAGGTGTGGATTTATTATTTTAGATTTTCTTTAGTTTTAAGATGACTCATTATCTAAACCATTTATCGACTCTGACCTGATTATCCTCCTTTGAAAAATCACACTTGTTTAAACAAGTCTGTCTAAGTCGTTTATTTATAGGCTGCTGATATTTGTCACAGATTCCTAGGCTATGGTAATCTCTTTTCATTTCTGAAGACTCAAGAGAGTTCTCCCAGACCCCTCCCTATCCCTGCAGTCTCCTAGCTGTGTTGATGTCAGATGCTCATAAATGGCACGTAAAGGGAAGAGACCAGGGGAAAGAAAAAGATTTACATGTAGAATGTCATAAATGATAAGCATCTACGTTTAAGCAGTTCCTTAAATTTACATTTAAAATTAGAAGCAACTTCCCTTTTTTTTTGGCAAAAAAGAGAGATCGACATCTTCTGTGATTTCTAGGAAACAAATATTAAAATTTGCTTGTTTAAAAAGTAAATTCTTAACTGTTTTGAAGTTTCTTATTCAGTTTTATTACAGGTGTTTCCATTTTAGAATTCCTGACTAAGAGTTTGAGAAGACTAAGGAACGGAGAGACTAAGACAGCAAAAGGACAAAAGAATAAGATAGGGACAGTTTAAGGCCTATGTAGAGTACGGAAGAGTAACATCAAGATGACCCTGTGGGAAGGTGTATGCCCTCTCCCCACCTGCACTGTGTAAAGCTTTTGTAATACAGGACACAAATATCTCCAAAATGTGTACCCAATAGTGGATGCCAAAGAAACTTTCTCGAAGCTGGCTGCAATCAGTTAGCAGCAAGCACAGGGAATATGCCCCATAAAAATTCCCAGTAGGGACCTTTGTTCATGAGGAGAAGCAAGAATTGGAGAGAAACAGGTAGGATGGCATTCTCCAGAACGAAGTGAAGGCAAAGGTTAGGGAGGCAAAGCTGGAAGGATAGGAGTGCTGTCAGAGTGGCCTGAAAAAAAATTAAATGTGCTTTTTCCCTGTCACAAAATTCAGCAATAGTTTTCCATTCTGCACGATGCTGACAGCTGCCTATCGCAGTCGTAGTTCCACTGCAGTGAAGGTGAGCAGGAATGTCAGAACTGATTCCTTTATGCCACCTTTGGCAGACACCGACCTGTCTCCTACATGATCCCCTCACGCACAGAATGAATGAGTAATTGCTTGGACTCAGTAGGAATATACATTTGTTTTGAAAATATTAAGGTAATTAATAGAGCTCAACTCCATAGAGTAGAGTCTGGAGCTGAAAAATGTATGCATTTGAATGGATAGATAAATGTCAAAGTATATATTGCAAACGATGATTAGGGCAAGGTGCAACAGCAACAAGGACAATTGTAATAATTGCTGTCTTGGGTGTTTTTTTTTGTTTTTTGTTTTTTGGTACTGAGAATTGAACTCACAACCTTAAGCTTGCCAGGCAGGCACTGGCACTGTGCCACTGAGCTATATCCCCAGCCCCAATCTTAATAATTGTTAATGTTAATAAAGTGTGGCTATGTGCTAGGAATTACTGCAAAACCTTTTCCTGTTCCACCTTATTTAATCTTTACAATAACTCTCCTGAAGTAGGTTCTATGAATATTCCATGTAACAGAAATTCACCATACCGAACATGCGGAGTGCGTTCCCTCCCAGAGAATTCTGTGATGCTTCCTACTCAACAAACCATAGGACTGTTTACTGGTTTTTTTGTTTAATCTACTTTTAGCACATATCTATATAAGATTTGCACTTGTGTTGCAGGTACTGATCTCAGAATTCTCTAAGCATTTACTTATTTCCTCATCATGACAATGATGTGAGTTAGTTATATTTAAGATCCTCACCTGGCAGTTGTGGAAATTAAGCCTCCAAGAGCTGGTGAAATATACTCAAAGACACACAGTCAGTAGATGGTAGAGTTGGGATCTAAATCCCAATAATCTGATTTGAACATTGAAAAGGGAAAATATTTTATACACATGGTTGATGCTCAGGCATTTTGAAAATACTTGTGTTTAGTTAACTCACTCGGTTTACTGGGCAGGGAGAGAAGCATGTGGAGCGCATAGCAGTGTGAGGGAGACATCGAGGAAAGGATATCTAATGTGTGAATGAACAACCAATTTCATGGCTGATTCCTAAAGTTAACAGCTCAGAGTTTAATCATTCCCAGGTTTTTTCGCGTTTAACAACAAAATAAACCACGGAAATACTACATCTCTACTCAATTGTCTAAGACTACATTTCTGTTTAACCCTTCTATCTAAAATGTTAACTAAATATTTTAAGCATGTTTTTTAAGTATACTCATAAACTTTTAGAGAAACGCCTTATGTTTCAGAGACGATGCTCTGACCTGAAGTCATTAAGTTCTCCATGAAGAGGAACTGCAGCTACGCTGACCAGACACCACCATCATCTGCCGTGCAAGGACGGGGAATTAGCTTGTGCTGATAGAGTTTTGAGCATCTGGAAAACCTTTGGTCAGGAGGCCTATTCCTGGTAATAAAAGACCTGAAAATGCCCTAAATGTGGAGATACAGAAGCCTGTCCTTTGAGAAGAAAAAGGAGAGGAAGTCTGCTCATCTCCAACAGAAAGGATGAAGTGCTGGGGTGGCGGGGGCTCTTAAGTTAGCAGGAACCAAGGCCTGCATCATAAGGCGTGTGTAGGAAGACTGGATGCACTGCTGTACAGCAACCAAAGCTCCCGTAAATCTTCTGTTAAATCTTAACACAGAGCAAAATAAGCCACAGGTCTTTGAACGGGCCTGTGGGGAATGGGTAGAATCCCTATGGAGGTGAGTGGGCCAGGCTTCTTGTTAGTAGTGGCATGGGGTCTGTGTCAGATTTTAGATTTGCTTTTAATTTCATTTTAAAAAAGTGAGTATGACATTTTAGTTCCTTGAATATAATGGAGCAAGAAATGGAAGCATATTGTACATTTCCACAACTTTTGATGCCTGGTATGTATTGAATAAATTTTATTTGGTTTTAATAATAATAATAAAATTAATAATACTAAAGCTTCTCCTGTTGTTCGCCCTGGAGTCAAGCTATAAAGACCAATAGATCTAAGATCAGATAAATGACTTGAACAATTGTATGGAAGAATCTGGTAGTTGGTTATCACAATCCACGCTGTCCTGTACTTCCTGGTGTATAGCTAGACTATGTTCCCCCTCAGCATTTCTTGCAATTAACATGTCCTCATGTCTGAGTTCTAGCTATCTGACATGAGCAGAGGTAAACTACATCCCTTGCAGGTATGGACTATTAGAAACGCTGAAGCACACCCCCTGGTGATCTCTCTGCTCTGGCCTATTGGAATAGAAATGATCCCCAAAGTGACCTTATATCCTACATGCTGAAGATGCCAGAGGCTCCTTCGGTCTGTATCACTGAATAACACTGAGAAACAGAGTCAGCCCACAGACAAGAGTGCCCATAATGCACTGTTTCTTGAATGAGCAAAAAATAAATTCCATTGTGTTCAGCCACTGAGATTCTGGGATTATCCTAGTGGTACCCTAAGTAACAAAACACACTGACTCCTCTTCCCCTACAATCACCACCTGTTTCTGCCTTTTGTAAAGAATGTCTTTAAAATGGTGGAACAGATATAAGCAGAATGAATTGAAAATCTAGTGTACAACTCACATTTAGGCCCCTTATCAATATGTTTTGTTTGCTACACAGGGATTCTATTTTAATTCATTTAGTTGCCAACATTTATAAACGAGGAGAATTCACACTGAGATTTAGATTTCCATCTTCTGAAAAACCAGATGATCTACACTTTTGACGTGAGTCCTCATCTTCTAGACCAACCATGCCTGTTCTGGTCACTTCCCCTCTTCCCCGCGAGTTACTTGGCGGTTGACTACAGTTAAACTTGCCTCCTCGATTATCATAAGTAGCTGGGTATTTAAAATTATGCAATGCCAGGTGGACAATAATTATGATTAGGAAGATTAGCTGTTTTTATATTATACTCTTGGGCTTTTCTGTTGGAAATTACAGAAAGAGCCATCTAAAATCCATTTCTATATTTGCTGCCCGAGTACTGTTGGTACTCTCAGTACTTCCTATGTTGAATCTAACATCAAATCTCACTTTAGAATTAACTCACTAAAAAATAAATGCTAACATCCTCTCACCCCAAAAACAAGAAAAATTATTTATCCAATCATTTTCCCTGTTTTAACATTAGCTGTTAGAAAGTCCAGAGCCATATTTCTAACTATATTGTATGAGAATTTATGAGTTATACATATTCTATTTTTGCCTGCTATTGCTATTTTATTTTGATGTATGTTCTCAATTATTATTATGTATGTACTTTTTAAAAATGCAACTATTTCATACATGCATTTCCTATAAGCTATCCCAAATTCTTTGTGAAATTAAAGTATAAGTAAATAAATATAGTTAAATTAAATATTATGGTTACTATTAACATCATAGTAAATATTTAATAACAGTATAAAATTTACCAAGCGAACAGCTACATTTTAATGTTCATAAAGTAGAAAGATACAGCCAATTGAAATTTAAATGTTTATGATTTTTTTTCTTCCCTTTTGAAAATAGGATAAAATTATTATAAGTAATTTGTTAATATCTTTTCTAGATAATTTTCTATAAACAAGAGAGATATGTGTGATTACTTGTTGTTGTTTGTTTGATTTAAAAAATTAACATTAAATGGAGCCAGGTGTGTTGGCACATACCTGTAATCCAGCATTTGGGAGCTATGGCAGGAGGATTGCTATGAGTTTGAGGCCAGCCTAGGCTACACAGTGAGTTCAAGGCTAGCCTGAGCTGCAAGACAGACTGTGTCTCAAAAAACCAAAGCAAAACAAAGCAAAAATAACATTAAATGTGAGCTATGACATTTATACATTCTCTTATTTACTCCTCCATTCAACAAGTATCTATTGAATGTCTATCCTGTGATTAGAACTAGGTATGGATAAAGACAAGTCTCAGAACTCGGGAATTCAGCTAACAGAATAGGAAAAAGACCAAGAGAGAACTTCCTATTGTCTGTACTACAGGGAGAGACAGCATTAGCCTGAGAAGTCAGGAGATGTTTGTCACCTTGGGGAGATGAATACCAGGAGGAAATGGGTAACAGACTCTGAAAGGTGGGTAGTGGGTGAGGCAGCAGGAAAGACCCACTCTGAACCTAGGACTCTGCTTAGCAAATCCCAAGTGCTCACATCAGTGCCACATCTCTGTGCTAATGGGCAGTAGAGGGCATAGGGCAGGGAGTGTCAGGAGATGATCCTGTGGGCTCTAAGACGCTCACATGACTGCATCCATGGTCCGTGGAGTATCTCTGGGGGAGCCACAAAGGCCATATATGGACTTAGTTTCCTTGTTATGAGTCATTGATTTAGTTTGGTACTAAACATTTCAGAAGGAGTTTTAGTGTAGCTTGAAAAGGTAAGTATATTAAACAAGGGACACAAAATAAGAAGTTGAAAGATGTAAAGGGAATTTAAGGGTAGGGAATCCAGATGGGGCAAATGAGAAGGTTGGCTCACATATGTGCCCAAACATAACCACTTGTTAGGGGTAAAGAGCCAAGTTGGCTCTAGCCTTTGTGATTGTCAGAATCACATGGAAGGGGCAAGGATGTAGCTCAGCATCACAGCGTCTGCCAGGCAAGCGTGAGGTCCTGAGTTTGATACCCAGTACCTAAAAAAAAATTTTTTTTAAAGAAAGAATCACATGGATAAAAAAAAAATGGTGACCACGGAATAAGTTCAAGTCCAGTGCTCTGATGAAGGTTGAAGACAAACAAATGAACAATTACCTGAAAAAATTATTTCTGTGCAAGGCTTAAAAAAGCCCTCACTGGGGGAAGAAATGAGCCATGAAAATATTAATAACTTAACTTCCTACTCTTCCCTATGAAGCAAACTGACAGCTAACATGATTTGTTCTGTAAGATTTTATTATGACCCTAAGAAAATTCTGCAACAGATACATAAAAAGACAAAACTTCACTTTAGAATAAATTGTTAATCTGATAATAGCGCTACTGAACACTTACCATGTGTCAGGCAATTGATAACTGCTTCAATATATTACCTTACTTCACAGTTCCCAAGGTCACATAGAAGGTGAGCTCCTTCCCACAGACAAGAGTATTAGAAGTCAGTGCTCTCCGGAAGTTCATGCAGCTGGGGTAGCAGGGCTGAGGGTCAAGCCCAGGGCCAATTCCCCATATTTCCTGCATACACCGTTCAGTATCATCTGGCTATGTTCATAAATAACCATTGAGGAGTTTTTCATTTAGATTAAATATATCTGACTCTAAAAAACTGACCCACAGGAAGAGAATTTCCCATTTCTCACTGGTTCCAGGTAGAATTCTGAAAACTTCTAGTGTCAAAGTCTCCCAAGTTGATTAATTCTGCCACAGGATCTGAAGAATGCATAAAGTTGAAAGATCAAAAAACTTAATGTTCTAACCACCATATGTGCATCGGCACAAATGTGCATCAAAAATTTTGAATTGGAAGTGAAATAAAGCTTAGAAACAGGGGCCCTAAAGTCAGAATAGCTGCATTAGGACTTTTGCTACATCAGAATGCTGGCTATTTGATGCAAGCAAGGATCCTAGTGTCTCTGGCGCTCTCCTCAAGTGATGGAAGAAGAATAATACTTACCTCACTGCACTGCTGTTAAAAATAAATGACATCATGTGGGTGGGAGCACTGGAGAAGTGCTCATGGTTAGGTGACTCTAAGGTGTTAATCACTTTCACTTTATGGGAGAATTAGTCAGGACATGCTTCAGGATGAAGTGACGCTTCCAGAGCACACAGAAGTGTGGGATGCAGAGAGGAAGGGGAGGGGATCGTTTTGGTTTTGTTTTATCTGCTGAACAAACAAGTATCTTGTGCTGAGATGTGCTGAGATCCCAAGGCTGTGTTAGATAGGCATGGTGGTGTTTCCCAGGGACAGTACAGCACACGAGGCCACAGGGCTGGCCCTATTAGCGGGAGCTGGTCAGGGACAACATGCTGATCAGGATGGAGGGTCCAGGCTGCAAGGAAGAGGGCCTTTACTGGGCAGCGCAGTGCTGCACAGGTGTCACCCAGCATCAGAATCACCCAGAAGACTTAAAAACACACATTGGTAGATCCGCATCCCCAGAGTTTTTGATTCAGGGTGCATGGAATGGGAACCTCAAAACCTGCATTTTCAACAAGTCTCAGATGTTGTTAATGCTTCTGGTCCAGGTGCCATGAATTATGGCTTCTCAATTATAAACAGTTGAATCTGATTCTGACCAATTTCAAGAAAAAGGGATTTGGGGGGATAGTTATTGGCTGGTTCCTAAACTGTCTGAGAATCTCATTCAGAAATACATTTAGAACAATTCTGGTCCAGAGAGTATAAACTCCTTTGCCAGTGTCTGAACATCACTGGCAGTACATCTCTTTCTGTTATCAATGTGTAACTGTTATTCTTCTCTTACTCACTTGAAGTGACATGCAGATTCCCTGGAGAAAGAGTCCCATCGGCTTAGGGCATAAGTCTACACTCCAGCTACTAGCTCATAGCTATTCTGAATTACAAGCTCTCCAAGAGAACACACAGGGGAGAGACACAGGTGGAAACAAATCTAGTTATTATTGCCAAAGATACGTTAATGGATGGTGGGCAGCAAGGCAAAACAAAACAAAACCCGAGAAAACCACCCATGTAGGAAACGATCAATACATAAAAAGTCTAGAGTTTTAGGGTAAGGAAAATCTCTATGTCCTATTAACTGGAGCCCTTGTAGATACTTAACTTAGAAAGTAAAACGGCAGTTTTTAGCTCTTCAAATACAGGCAAAATTTAAACCAACTCTTTGGGAAATTTCTCATGGGTGCCATAATGGTACAGTATGGAATTTATGATTTCAAAGAAAAATTCATCTGTCCCACAGACTGGAGCATGAGATACAATTCATATGCTTTAATTTGGATATTATTACTTTTTTAGATTATGAAATATTTCAAATATACAGGACAGCATAGAAAATAATCACACTTGAATGTCTTTGGCTTAGTTACCCAGCTTTCCTTTGTCAAATAATCCCATTGAATGTTATAGAACTTTAACCCTGGACAGGTCTTGAGGGTAGCTAAGCACAAGAGGTTATGGCCATTAGAGTGGACTTGGGGCAATCCAGTACCCTTGTGGACTATTATAAGTAATCAGATTATCTGTGATAGAGTAGAAGTACAGACTGAACACTCTAACCTCCGAATACTAAAAATAGGCAAAGCTTAGACACAACTATTTCAAAATATCAATTTTAAAGGAATTCTCCTTTAAGATACCTATCCCTTGCTTCAGTTACCTTCACATGAACAATTATCTTCAAGTTACTGTAAACATTTTCTTCCAGTATCTTTTCCTGTGTAGATCTCTAAGTATACTGGTAATCATGTGGGAGAGAGCAATACAAATGCCCAGTCAGCTTAGCCATGTGGGTGGCTCAGTCAGGGTACTCCCCTGTGTGCTGAGAAGAGCTACCCTTTAAATTTTGTTTTTAAGCATAAACAATTACAGAGGTGTGATATTAATCACCATGCCTGGGAAATACAAGCAGACAGTCGTAACTGGGAGAATGGAAATAGAAGGGGATGCATTTGAGTTTGTGTTTGCTGAACCTGATATCTCAGCAAGAAACCTTTTCCTAGGGGAACAGAACTTGCACTGGCAGCACAGGACAGGACAAAAGCTGTCTTTGGATCTCTTTGGTAGAATTCATTCAAATTCTTCTTCATATGTAAATTAGAAAGTTGGACTCAGGCACTGGATGCCAGTGGTATCTTGACTGGACAGTGTGTCATTGTGTGGAACTGTCTTACACCTTAGGGTGCATCAGCTGCTCTACCTACTAATTATCCAAGACCCTCAGTCATTGGAGAACTCGCTGCTGCATGTGAGCACCCTCAGGGAGATTGTATGCTCTCAGCTGGGTTCATAACCACTGAGTGCTCTGGTATTCCCTGTTAGTACTCTGAAGTCTTTTCCCTGGAAAATGGGGGGCTCTACGTCAGGGTTACCTCCTATTAACAGCTTCTGGTGGTCTGAGGAGGTCGTTCATGTACGAGGCCCTGTTGCAGAGCCAAGGGTCCTCAGGCCACGCACAGGCTTTAAGGACTGCTCTCACCACTGTCCTTTCTTCCTCGCCATCACAGGGTTGATTTCAGCATAACTCCTCAGTCTTCCCTAGGCAAAAGCTGGCCAAGGAGTACGTGGAAGGGAAGGGGGAAATGCTGTGATCTCTTACTTGACCCTCTGTTTCCATGGGGCTTAGAGTTGAAAGAGGAGATTCAAGTCTTACGCCCTTTCTTAGCAATGTCCTATATGGTAGCTGGCCCCTCTCATTACAAGTTTGTTACTGATGCTTAGACAATACTGCACAACTCTGGGGGAAAGACAAGTAAATATAATAATTGTTGTATCTTAATCAGGCCTAGATTCCCTATCCAGAATTCTATGTAAATCCTATTATGGTTGTAAGGTGACTGCATTCAACTATATTTTTTCTGATAAAAGTAAAAAAAAAAAAAGAAAAAAAAAGAAAAAGAAACCCAGGTCACATTTAGGAAGCACAGGGCTTGGTTTGCTGCAATATGCCAGCAGTCTCCCAACCTTTGTGTTTTCAGACACCATTTGTCCTCAAATAATTTCCTTTGGAAATTGGCTTCTGCATAGATAATCCCTCTAGGAAATAAATGCATTTAACTTAATTTTGTTTCCAGCCTTCTTCTCCCTTTTTCTCGAATATATTCCCTGTGGAGTGTTTTCTCCAGAGACAGAGTTTTAAGAAACGTTCATTAAAATACTTAGGAGCTGTAACGAGGGGATGGTTAAGACAGAAAAGATCTTGGTGGTGGTGGGGTGGTTATTTATTGCAAGGAGGTGAGAGCAGAAGCTTTATGAACTAATGAGTCACTAAGAGTGAATAAAAAGAAAAGAGGAGGTTGCCGACTGAACGTTTACAAACTCCATCTGACATTAGAAATGGCATGTAGAGAAGATAATTCAGAGAAGCAGCGAGCTGTGATAGGAAAATCACTGGTTTCAGAGTGCGCAGAGCGATGCGACATTTTTAAGATTCAGTTTTCTTGAGAGAGCAAATAAGGACCAAAATGTACAGCTGACAGTGTGAAACAAATAGTTCAAAGGGAAAGAAGAACTAGGGAGGGATAGGGGAAGGAAGGAAGGGAGAAGGAAAAAGTGTGTAGAAAAAGGACACAATGGAAACAAAGCTTTGTAAATAAGGACTGGAAGAGAGATTGAAGTGAGGAGGGACGATTGGGAACAAAAGAGGAATTAAAATATATCAGGTACCAGTATGATCACTACGTATATCTAAAATATACCAACAAACTTAGTTTAAAACACAGTCAGTTTTCTTAAACAAAAATAATGCCTAACCTAACCTAGTTGGGTTGTTTATAGATTTACAGCAGATCATGTACAAATCACTTTCCATAAATGTAGGAAGACACAGTCCACTCTCAGTAAATGCTATTCTTAATATTATTTTCATTTTCAATTGAAGCAAAACCTTTATAAACACACCGCTATATTGAAACCGGAATGTTGGAAATTATATATGAGAAATCACAATACCCCACACAAGCAAGTGGTCCCAGTTCAGACAAGTCTGGGACGGTAGCAGCATGGTAGAAGCCAAGAATCCATAAAACTAGGCAATGGAGAAAAATACCACCGAGCCTCTCTGAGGCACCAGTGACAATCTTTCCTTCATGAAGAAATCCTGGAGACCATATCTGAACCCCAGTGAATACATCTGACCTCCTTCAAAAACCCTGAGCTAAAACCTTCTTCCACAGATGTGACCATAGGGAGCAGTCTCTCATGAGGGAGCTGCTTCTGACACTAATCACTCCACGGCATTAGTCACAGGCAGGCCAGGGAAGAGACACCTGCACCGGGGTTCCGGGACAACGAGGCATACTTCTGTCAGAATATGTCCGTGCCACGAGTGCAGGCACAAGACATTTTCAGTACTGGTTAAATGAACATACAAGGGTCCAAATGACTTTGAATTTAGAGTTACAAGCTCTGTTAATTGCCATGGCACATTAGGTTTTCTCTCCTCCAGGACAAAAATGAGTCAATTAGTGAGATTTTACCGAGATCGGTTCATTAGTTCACGTCAAACCTTAACGGGAAGATCACCAAAATTTATTATTTTGCACTCGTTCCCTCCTACCCCCCTCCCTCTTTAACTCTCTCCCTCCCTATCTTTTTTTATTTTTTACAAGTTTTCTTACTGTAGGCTTTCAGTCCTCCAATCTGTGTGGAGAACCTGGTGCCATTTAACATGACTGGCCAGTGTCTTTAATCAAGAAATCATGACAGGGACCAAAATACATGGAGGAAATGATGAAAAGAGTGGTAAGCAAATCCCTGCACATGCACTCTACTAAAGCATTAGTGCTGTTCTCACCCTATACCCAAAGGTATTGTGATGGGAGATGCTCATTAGTGCTTCCCCAAGCAAACAGGGGCTACTACATGAATGAAATTTGCCCTGGAAATGCATGATGTCTCTCTCAGGTGAGTACCTGCCGGAGAAAATGGGCAGCTATGCACTCTGATTGGCTTAAATGGCCACTTGCCTAAAAATTACAAGACTGGGGAAGAAAGAATACGTATAACATGCTGCCCCAAGTGTGACCCACTGGCATCATAGAAGCTTGGGTATCACTTGACTCTAAAATCACCTACATGTCCAAGTTCCCAGGTTCCATACTAGGCACCCAGGAAACAAAATCTCTGAGGAATATTTATGAGGCTTCCTAGGTGATTTTTACATATGCTGAAGATTTAGACCTATATTTCATGTGTCACTAATTGGCATAACTTACCCTTTTCTTTATTCACTAAACCGATCTGGTATCAGTCACTGCCCTTAGCTTCCCTCTTTTATTCTGATAGGCCGTAAGGACAGACCTGATTCAACCATCTGATTATATGTAAGAGCTCACTTTGTCATTTTGGGCATCAGCAAAAATTTGGTTTACAGCAAAACCCCCTCATTTTTAACTTCTGGGAAATTTCTGTTCATTTTTCAAGATGATAGTGATATAAATGAAGGGATTAAAAAGAAGAAAAACTTACATGAACTTTCAGTTGTTTCTGGGAAGCCTCTACTTCAGCTTGCAGCTTCTCAATGTACTAAAAGTGAGAAAAGTTTAAAAACCAAGTGTAAACTCTTCCTTTTACATATTCAAAGTATTCTGCATCTGAATATGTATCAGTTATCAAATCTTATGAATGACAGTATTATCTCAGCTAGATGTTTGGGAAATCATCATTGGAGAGATCATCTACTCCCCGTCCCATTTCTCTTCCATTCTGTAGAAGAGCCTGGGGCAAGACACACAAATATATTAAGAACTAGAAAACGCTTGAGGAAAATGATGTTAGCATAATGCACTAAAGTTAATGCTAACATATCTCCTCTCTCTCTCTCTCTCTCTCTCTCTCTCTCACACACACACACACACACACACCCTCAAATATCAACATATCCATATGTTCCAAAAGCTGATACAAATCTTTTGGGTTGAATAAGAAGTAAATTTACATCATGGTACACATAAAATATCCAGAGTCAGAGATTGTTTCTTATAAAGTGATTGCATGAAAACATATGCCAAATTTTTATGATCTACTTGTTTTACTATACAGAAATTATTTTCTTAGATTCAACTTTGAACTTAAAAAACATTTATGCAGTCAATATCATTTATAAAATAGAATATTTAAGGATGTGCACAAAATTTTAAAAATATAACTAACAATAAATTTTATACCAATAGTCATTAGAATTACTTTTAGCAAATATAAACATTAATGTTCACTATCATGACCTTAAATATGAACTATCAGCATGGCCAGAAATGGCTTTACAGAATTGTCAATTCATACAAGGTTAGATAGCTTTTGTTTTTGTTTTTTTCTTTCCTGTACCAGGAATCAAACTCATGACCTTGTGCTTGCCAGGCAGGCGCTGTGCCACTGAGCTAAATCCCCAGCCCCAAGGTTAGATAGCTTTTAAAGGAAACATTATTTTTTTCCTCCAAAACATACCTGGTCTTTCATAAGGACCGTTTTTTCATATGGTTCCCTACTGGCTTCCTTAAGATTCCCAGCTTCTAGGTTTTCTTCCAGCCAGTAAACTTGCTCAAGCAGTTTTGAGTTTGTTCTTTCAGAGGCTGAAAACTGAAAGTATTTTCTTATAAGGCTACAGTGATATTTTAAAACCTCTTTTTAAAAGATTAACTTATAAATGAATTATTTTCCACTGATTGAATATGAAAATAGCCTCTAAGACATTCTTCACAGATGATAAATGACAAAGAAAGAAGAAATAATGTTGATTTTATGCATTTCTAGTAAGTATGCTCTTTCTGGGCACAAGATGAGACCCCATAGTTAGAATGGACAGAGAAACTTTCAGTGCAAGGATCACAACACTCATCTCCATTGTGTTCTGAGGTTTCATTTTATTTGCACAGCCGAATCTGAAACCTGTACTGAGATTTACATTGGTTCCTGAAACTTAACTCTTGAGGAGGTACTGCTCTTTACAAGGCATGGGAATTAATATTACCCTGAATATTCACTATTGAAGCAGCAAGGTTGCTGAGCAGAAGGGAAATGATGGAATTTAAGCTAAAGTCTGATCAAAGGCAGGTTTATGTAAACCACAACCAAAAACTTCCTTCTAGCAGCTTTGTTTTACTGTTTATAGATTTTTCTTGAGTAAAGTGGTAGTTTAGTATCCCCTACTCTTGTGCTTCTCTTAAAGAAAGCATCCTGATCTGATTTTTCTTTCATTCAATTTATTGTGCTCTTTCTTTACAGCACAGCAACACTTCTCAAAGAGTCCCTGGAAAGGGACCCGCAATTCTGTATTCACTGCATCTCTATGTGTATTCTTTGAAGCATAGATTATTTTTAAATACCTCTTTTGCATTATTCTTAGTGTTGCATACTTTCTCATATTAAAGCGCAGCAATTTTTAAGACATTTACCAAACTGAGAAGTCAATTTGTCATGGAAATCAATTACACAAAAAAATCAACAAAAAAAATTAGAATTGACACAAACTTTGAAAATTTTAATATAATACAGGACAAGAAGATATTAATAAAGTAAATATAAAAGACTTCTTACTTCTATGAAAAAATGAGACAAAATTTTATAACAAAATAATTGGAGAATAACAATAAACAGAAATAACAATAAACAGAAATAACAATAAACAAAAAGAGACACAAATCCATGCAATTAGAAATGAAAGGGGCTGGGGATTTAGCTCAGTCTTAATAATTATCCGCAGTATTCCGCCCCAAGACAACAGAATACCTCCTCACCAGCACATGGGACTTTCACCAAGACAGAGCACGTGCTAGCATGCATGAGTAAATGCAAAAGAATCAGAATTATCCCATGCATCTTATCAGATCATAGTGCAATGAAACTAGAAATCTTTGGTAAAAGAAACCACATATATTATGCAAATACATGGAAATTAAATAACACCCTCTTGAATAATCAATGGGCCACAGGAAAAAATATCAAGGAAAAAATGTGAGATCGTTCTTAGAATCAAATGATAATGCCAGTACAACATGCCAGAATCTGTGGGACACAAAATAGTTGTAAGAAGGCAGTTTATAGCTGTGAGTGCCTGCATCAGAAAAACAGAGCAAGTCCAAATAAATAACCTAATTACGTACCTCAAAAATAATAACAGTCGAAATCTAAAGCTAGTACAAAGAAGGAAATTATAAAGATGGAGCAGAAATCAATGAAATTGAGACTAAAAAATTATAAAGAATTGAGTAAAGTGGTAGTTTACTAGTTATTTGAAAAGATAAACAACATAAACAAATCCTTAGCAATCTTACAAAAAGAGACACAAATCCATGCAATTAGAAATGAAAGGGGCTGGGGATTTAGCTCAGTGGCACAGCCCCTGCCAGGCAAGCCCAAGGTCATGAGTTCGATTCCCAGGACTGGAAAAAACCAAAAAAAAAAAAAAAAAATTAGAAATGAAAACGGTGAAACCACAATAGATACTGATGAAATCCAGAAGATTATGAGTAACTAATTGAAAAACTATATTCTAATAAATTAGAAAATTTAGAAGAAATGTGTAGGTAAGTAGTTATATATGAATATATGAAATGAAACATATATAACATGTGAAATATATATACAACTTGAACAATTCAGTAGCAGGAAACAAAATTGAAGAAGTAATTCAAAAATTATCAACTAAGAAAAACCCAAGTCCCAATGGATTAGCTGCCAAATTAGACAAGAACTTTAGGGAAGATTAAATGCCAATATGCTTTAAAGTGTTTAGTGAAATTGAAAGTGAAAGAAGTATTCCCAAAGGCATTCCTAAAAGCCTGCATTGTTCAATTCCAAAACTAGAAAAGGATCCAGTCAAAAAAGAAAACCATAGATTAATCTCTACTAGAGACACAAAAGTCCTCAACAAGATATTGGCAAACAGTATGCAACAAATCATTAAAAAGATCATACATAGGGATGAAGTAGGATTTATCTCAGGGATGCAGGGATGATTCAACATATGCAAATCAATAAATGTAAAACATCACATAACAGAAACAAGTTAAAAATATGATCATCATTGATGCAGGAAAAGTATTTGGCAAAATACAACATCCATTATTTAAGATAACGCTGAAGAAAATATGAAGAGAAGAACCTCATCTCGAACTGATAAAAACCATTTATGGAAACCAATGGGCAATATCACATTAAATGGAGAGAAACTGAAAGCTTTCCCTCTAAAATCAGGAACAAGCCAAAGATGTATGCTATCTACTCCTGTTCAATATAGTTCTTAAAACATTAGCCATAGCAATCAAGCAATATAAAAAATATAAATGTATATAGGAAAGGAAGAACTCAAATTATCATTTTTTCCAGATGACATGATTCTCTATATAGAATACCCAAAAATTCCATCAAAAGATTCCTAGGATTAATAAGCAATTTCAGTAGCATAGCAGGACACAAGTCAGTACACAAACACAAGAAATCCTGTACTGTACACCTGGCTAGCTAGAACCGATATAGTCAAATGGTCATACTTCCAAAACTGCATTAAAAAGTTTTAATGAAGTCCCAATCAGAATGCCAATAGCATTTTTCACAGAACTAGAGATAACAGTCTGACAATTCATATGATACCAGCAGAGACCTGCAATACAAAAGCAGTCCCAGGCAGCAAGAACAAAGCAAAAGGCATCACAATCTCAGATTTGAAGTTATACTACACAGCTTCTGATAAAACAGAATGGTTCTGGCAAAGAAAATAGATATGTGGACTAATGGAACAGAATAGAGAATGCAGAAACACCTCCAGGTACATTCAGTTTCCTAATCTTTGACGAAAAGGTTAAAAACTTAAACTGAAGGAATGAGAGACTGTTTAACAAATGATGCTGGGAAAACTGGCTATCCACTTAACAGAAGATTGAATCTATACTGATATCTCTAACCATGTACTAAGCTAAAATAAAAGTGGATCAGAGATCTAAATATTAAAACAGAAACATTTAATCTGCTGGAAGATGAAATAGGTAAAACTCATGATATCATAGATATAGGCATGGATGTTCAGAACAGAACTGCAATTACACAAGAAAAATACAAAATATCAACAAATGGGATCATGTCAAATTTAAAAACTTATATACAGCAAAGATAAAAACAGATTGAAGAAACAAGCTACATATGGGAAAAGAGTAAATGCCAGCTACAAGGAAGTTGGAAGACTAGTATCCAGAGAGTATAAAGAACTCAGAAAAATCAGAATTCTCCAATTGAAAGACCCAAACAAAAAATGGGCAACTGAAATGAAGAGACATACCTCAGAAGAAGAAATACAAATACTCAATGAAGACATAAACAATGTTCAACATTTCTGACCATTAGAAAAATGCAAATGAAAACATCACTGAAATTCCATCTTATTCCAGAGAGAATGGCTAGCGTCAAGAAATCAAATGATAACAAATGCTGGTAATGCTGGGAGGAAAAAAGAACTCATCTACATTGTTGGTGGGATTGTAAACTAACAATGCAATTACAGAAATCAGAATGGAGATTCCTCAAAAAACTAAAAGTAGAAATTCCATTTGACTGATTCCATAGACCTATGATTCCATAGACCTATGATTCCATAAACCTATGATTCCATAGGTTTCCCCTTCTAAGTAACTTCCTGAAAGCATTAAAGACATCGTATTAGAGTAATACATGCACCCCCATGTTTACAGCAGCACAATTGGAAGCTACCTATACATCCATCAGTAGATGAACGGATAAAGAAAATATGGTATTTATATGCAAAAAAGTACTGCTCTGCCATAAAGAAGGATAAACTTTAATAATTTCTAGGAAAATGGATGTATCTTGAGACAATAAGGTTAAGTAATATAAATCAGAGGCACAAGTTTAAATATTGTGTGGTCTGCCTTATATGAATAACCCAAGATATAAATAAAAAAAAAGATGGAAAAATAGGAAATGGGGAAATAGATCTGCAAAAGGGGAGGGAGACCAAGATCTGGAGAGAGAAAGGGTGGGGGGGAAGGTGGTAAATAAGAACATGTTACGTACATGTACCAACTCCCCATGAGGAATGTGATCATTGTGTACTAAAAATGTGTACTAGTAAAAAGTATGTTCAACATTATTCATTAAGGAAGTGGAAATCAAATCAAAATGTGATTATATTTGATACCTACCATGATGGATGTAATTTTTAAAATTGAGAATAAAAAATTGCTGGTGTACAGGAACTGTGGCACCCAGCTGATATGAGTATACAATGTTGCAGCCACTATGGAAAAAATTCAGGGGCTCATTAAAAAGTTAAATATAGAATAACCATAGGATCCAGTAAGTCTATTCCTAGGTATATACCAAAACTTAATGAAACTGTACTCCACACAGAAAATCCACAAAGATGGGTGATAGCAGCATTATTCATAGCAGCTAAAAGGTGAAAAAAGTTCATCAATGGATGAATGAATGCATAAAGTGTAAGATGATAGATGGAATAATATTCAGACATAAAAATGAAGTATTGATAGATGCCATAATCTGATTAACCTCAGAAACATTGTTAAATGAAATAAACCAAATGCAAAAGGATATGTATGATCTCAAAT